CACCCAGGGTACCTTACACATATGTTGATGTGGAAAGTCCTCGACCAAGCGTTTAAGTGATGAGGTTGGGGTGAGAATGAGATGTCCAGCACAGATAGTATGCCCCTCAGCTGCTCAATTCTGCTTATCAAACACACAAAGCACTGCTTGTTAATAGATAACATGAGCCCTTAGCTTGAGTGCATTATCAAACAACTAATTATCTATTGCTTATTTTAGATAAACCTTGCTCCTGATTGCCGGCCATGACAAGTTGAAGTGAAAGTGAAACTTAACTTGTAAATATCGATATGTAGCTACACCTGCTTCCCCTCAGATGCCCCTCATTTGGCTGTAGTGTTTCAGGATTGACTCCTTAGGCTTACGAAACCTTGGCTTTCTGAATTTGTGTTTTTGAGACTTGTTTGTAAACTGGAGATCCATGGGGGCACTGCTTAATTCACACGTGATATGTCTTGTAGCATATAAAGACACCATATGTTACAAGGAGATAGTGGACCAACACCTCTGATTTAGCTGCGTAAGTATACTAGAAGTCAGTGCTTTGTAGTATTAGTTTAACCCTAATTTAGGTGCAGGCTGAGATGAAACTATAGGAACTCACCAACATTGTGTCTGATGATTGTTTGAAGTTAAGACACTAGAGGGTCCACTCACAGGGCAGTGGGTCTGAGTGATAAACGGGGTCATGTGAGAGGTCCGCTCACTGTGAATGTGTGGTTGTGTGTGTGTGTGTGTGTGTGTGTGTGTGTGTGTGTGAGACTGTCGCGTGTTCCGACCACATGTGACCTCTGAGTGTGTGTGCTGTGTTGGTACAGTACCTTCACACAGGCTTAATACAGCGTCCCTTTATTTGTGTTTGTTGTTTGTCTGTTGTGCAGTGAACAAAAGATTATGGAACTTTTTATTAATGGAGCCACCGACCCTTCACAGGCTTATGCATTTCTGCTGTTACAGGAGTTTCCTTTTTAAGTCGTCCGCTGTCGTCAGTCCCCACTGATCAGGGATTAGATTACAGGGTTTCCACGAAAAATCGCGAGTCTGTCCTGAGCCTAAATAACTTTCAATGTAGTGTTGGGTAAATTTGCGTTGTGGAAAGGTGAGGATGAGTGGATGAAGAGGAGAGGTAAACATGTTTGTTTCCTGGTGTGACACAGTCGTCTGTTCAGCTGATTTCTATTGAAACAAACATAAACTTTATGCTTTTGTCAGTCTTTTTGAGCTGTTTTTTCTGTCTTCACTGGCAGATTGAATTAAATGATAATTGGTTTGAACGTAAAGAAAAGTTGGATGGACTTCTCCACATTTACTCAACATCACAACAAAACTTTCTAGTTTTCAGCAAAGAAACTGCTTTAATACTTATTTAGTTTCCTTTGTTTTCTTTTCTTATGGACTTTATTTAGATTTTTCCATTCAGAGAGAAAGGTTTAGTGTTACAGTTGACATCTCCCACCCCATTTTGAACAGATAAACAAATTAACACTATTACACATCATAAATAAAAGAAAACAACAAACAAAGAACATGTGACACAAACAATATTCATATACACAAAAGAAAGCAAAAACAGTTGTAAAAGACAAAAGAAGAAAGTAAAAACAAGAGGGACATGACGAATCAGAAGCTCAGATGATAATATTTAATATAAAAGTTATTTCTGATTAAAAAAGTATCTAAAATTCACTGATTCCAGCTACGAAATATGTTGATTTGCTGCTTTTATCTGTGTTATATAATTATAAATTAAACATTTTAATTTTGGTACAACAAATCAAGATATTTGCAGACATTAGTTTAGTTTAGTTAAGTTTAATTACAGTTTAAAAGACTTCTTTAAACATCAACAAGAAATGATTTTAACATGGTTTTTAGTCACAAGAAAGTAATGATCATCAAATGTGTGATTCAGTGCTAAAACATGAGGCAAAGTTGATGCAGTATAAAAGGATATACAATTTTTAAAAGCATTAGAGGCAGTAGAGACACATTACAACACCAGCAGGGCACATTATTAGCAGCAACAGAAAAGACTTTAGTGCTTATATGTGTATTTATAAATTGATTACTGAAAGAGCTATAGGTTTTCTGATATGAACTGGAATTACATCCCATTCTACTGAACCTCTTACAGACCAGGCCGACTGGCTAAAAGCACCTTTCCTCAATGGAACAGTACAGTGTCCTTTTATGAAAACCCCGGTTGACACAATTAATGTTTGTTCTTCTGCTGATATAAGCTAGAAGTGGTGGTGGAGAAAAGTTTGCATATCATATGAAGTCATCCCGACTTAAAATCTTTGAGCTTTCAGACTTTTTTCAAGCTATTTTATCATTTTGTTGACAATGGAAACGATGAAAATCATTGGTTGCAGCGCTGTTGTTAGTAAGAATGACTCAATTGCAGGATCAACTCGTCATGCATTCACTTATTAATCTTACAATACTTAAAAACCCACATAAAATAGCAAAAAAAATGACAAATTGGCTGCTTAACTGGTGAGTAGGCTTTGCCACAAGTAGGGCCTTGCACACATGCACAGCAGCTTGTGTATCTGTGCTGGACTGCAAAGTTAAGCTTCAAGTTTGATGGTTTCTACTCAGTATATAGAATCATCACAGCTTGAGGGCGATAGCAAAAGTTTTCCCTCAGTTTTCCCCCAGTTTCTGACCTCATTTTGTGAGTGACTTCAATGCCTTTATCATCAAATTTAAGCTGAACAGCAGAGCACCAATATTTCAACGGCAGTTTGAGCACACTGAAGTATTACCCTGCAGCCTGCATGCCACACAGCGGGGGACGCAGTAGAGTCTGTAGTGAAACTCGGTCAGGATCGTATACATTTTTCATGTGTGTGATTTCTCTCAGAGGTGGCTCTCCGTGCAGCGATCTCCTGTGACCCCACCGTGCCCTCCAATCAACATCTCACCCAGCCCCGACTTTTCCACACGCTATACATTAAAGCTACGCTGCACTCCATCAATTAAACACGGCGAGCGAGGACAGGCAGAGTTCACCGAGCTTTTCTTCAAGCTGCTGCGGGTGGCGTGATGGCTCTTGTGGTGAAACTCTGAAGTTTTGCTGCCGTGAGAGAGGACGATGGTGCAGATTAGGACTTTTTTGTCTTTTAACATGTCACTTTAATTTTCCTGTAGACCAGTACAGCTTGATTTGTGGTGCATTTACACACTTCTGTTCCACATTTTCTGGGCTATATTTAGACGTTTGCACACACACTTGAGTATCTTTCTATTTCAGTGTGTATTGTGACTGATGATATTCCCACTCTGCTGTAAAGCTTTGATATCATTGCCTGTCCCCATATGTGCATTTGTAGCCCCTGAAGTGTGAGAGGAGATAAAGTGCACGGGACCAAATGTGATCAAATATGAGGAGAAACACAACAGAGTTGATCCAATGGCTGGTGCCAAGGGATTACAGCATCTCTGCTTGTTCTGCACGGATTTATGCGTGTATGACCGGTTTACTGCGAAGGTGTTGCGTGCTCTCACTGCTTGCAACCGTGAGCTCACAGAGCATGCTACAAGCACAGATATGCATCAAGCAGAGGTCACAGAGAAGTCAGTAACACGTGTGTGCAGCCTGTGCAAACTATCAACTTTTGGGCATGTGAAGGGGATAATGTCAGGATGCGTTAGCATTAGTGAAACATCAGTGATCTGTGCAGGTTATAATGTTAAAAGAAGAAGTCTAGTTCATGAGTTATGAATCTCTTTTAGCAGGAGAAGCTTTGTGGTTCAATATAAACACACACTTTCTCAAAACTGGCACAAAATCAGAAGGATGTCGTGATTTTTATGATGTAAAAACATTTAAAACTTCTCGTTTTGAGGCTGCTCCATGATGGCAATATGTAAAGTTTTCTAGCCCTTATAGCCACTCAAATATCGCTGCTTTGTCACGCCCTCAGTGTGTGATATCAACGCTGAAGGCACCCTTTAGGGTCAAGGTTGAAGGTTATTTTTTCCCAAGGGCAATTTTTTTGTAGCCAGGGTTCACGTAAAAATATAAAACAGTTCAAAAGTAAGTAAGTAATCATCAACACAAAAATCAAGCTGGCTGTAGCATCTTTATGACACACTTCGGACATTCAGCTAACTCCAGTGTAAACCCATCGGCAATACTTGATGCCAAGAGCAACTGGCATTGTATAAAGAGCAAGAAAGTCCCCACAGGGCGAGAGGTGGACAGGTCAAACAAAACCAGACTTTCATCCAGTAGACCACAGTTTGTGTCCAGTGTGAAACCAAAAGCCAGCAATGGTTTAACATGTCCTCATTCCCAACTTGTCAGATGCCAGCGTTGGTTAGTGGACCGTCCTTTATCACTTTTGGATGTTCAGGAACAGTGAGTCAATATACGCTCATCATCTCTGTTCAAAATCAGCTCCCATTTTTACCAGTTTCCACTCCTTAAACGCAGACAATCTTGTTCAGGATAAACTCTGAACGCAGAGTAGGGTTGCTTGTTTAGGTTTCAGCAATGGATTATGGGAGGAAGCTGGAGTACCCAGAGAAAACCCACACTGACACGAAGAGACCATGCAAGATCAGCACAGAAAAACTCCCCACTGCGAGGTTCAAACCTCCCAACCCAGGTTTCAAACCAGGAACCCTCTTGCTGTGAAGCGACAATGCTAACCACTGCAACACCGTGTCACCACTAAATACATCTCATAACACCACTAAAGGGTGTCTCTTTGTGTCGGTGTCTGATGCCAGTGGGCCACTGGCCAAGTGTTAGTGTTTGACGAGTCAGGAGTGAGACTGAGTTATGTTTAAACTTAACGTTAGGCAATTCATGTATGGTCGTCATCCACTGACGTTAGTAAAGACACGTATTACCGTCACATTACGTTAAACTTAACCAAGTAGTTCTGTTGCCTAACCCTCACCATGACTGTTTCATAACAGTAACCACAGGTTACGATGTATTTCATAAAAATGATGATGTGAATCTTTCTTCCTGGTCGTTACAGGTCAAGGTGTGGTTCCAAAACCGCCGGACCAAACAGAAGAAGGACACCACCAAGGATTCAGACAAACGCTCCTCCTCCTCAAACGAGTCCTTGGCCACCTGCAACATCCTGCGCCTCCTGGAGCAGGGCCGCCTCCTATCAGGCCCTGCCCCACCTCCTAACTCCCTCCTGGGGCCGCCACACCCAGCAAATGGCTCCCTGCTGAGCAGCCCAGGTGGAGGCTCCTCCACCTCTCCGGGAATCAGCAGTGGCACTCCTCCTAACTCTCTACCAGGGGGGACTTTTGGGCTGTCGCTGCCCTCCCTGGGTGGCACCCCGCCCTCACCGCGGCTAGGCGTGCCGCCGCCACACTCTCTCTGCTTCTCCATGCCGCTGCTGGGGGGCGCTCATCATGAACTGACGTCCGCCTACGGCTGCGGTTCCTCAGCTTTTGAGCCGTACATGCGGCTGGACAGGAAGGAGGCAGATCTGGGAGGGAAGAAGACGGTTTCTTAAGTAATGCGTCCCTCTTTAAGGACATCAGGGGACTTGTCTTTGTCGGGCGTCTCCGCAGTCGTTCACCCCGCCGCCTGTTTGACACTTGAGCTTCAGCAGACGGGGAAAGAAAGCGACCTGCACCATGAGAAATGTGAAAAAGGAAGAGACCAGGTTCCTCGTGGCACCATTTTGTGCCACAGCACTGTTGAGCACACTGATACAAAATGGTGGAAAGGACGTGATGTGACGGAGACTCTCCCACATTAAAAAACAAAACTTGTGAATTTTTGCAGAAATGCCGTGTGTGTGTATGTTGCGTGAACCCTGACAGACAGATGTTTTTATCACCACTCTCTTCGCAGTGGTTTCAAGTGACTCTTCACTTTTTGTCCAGTGAGTTTGTGTGTGTGGTTTTCTCTCTATACAGGCCTTCATTTACTGTTCAGGAAAAAAAAAATACTTGACATGGATAGTTCAGACTGAATCAGTGTCTGAATGAGAAGAGTGGTATTTCAAAGAGAGCAGTTTGTACACATTTCAGTACATATTCCCGTACAAGTGGCCATGTTTGATTTTAGTTAATGTGCTATCACGATATGGAAGAAACAATGAAAAAAAAAAAAAAAAAAGAATTGTAGCATTTTAATATCAGTCTGTTTGGTGTCCAGCAGTAGTTTTTGTAAATTCTTTATTTGGTTGTGTTTGTGTATGAAATAATAATGTGGTAGGATCTGGACAAAATGGTGCAAAAATCACATATCTAGATCCGATAGTTTAATATAAAAGAACAAGAGAGGAAGACGCTGGTTAGACTCTGCCAAAGCATTAATGGATTAGGCTTTGGAGCTGTCCTCCAATCACTGAAACAAGTTAGAGATTTGACCTTTGAACCCAGATTAACTTTTAAGTCTCTCCTTCACTGAAACGCCTAATAGACACTCGTTTAATAAGACTCAAACATCTGGCCGAGTTTGTTTAAACATTTTTTTTTATTCACAGAGCTGAGTTTGTGTAGTCTGAAAATGGAAGCAGCTTTTTAAGTTAGTCGCAGTCGATGCTTGATCCAGAGATTTCTGTTTTGCATCTTGTTTATCAGCGTGGTCGGGACTACAGCTGCGACAAGTAGTTGACTAAAAAGTCTATCCACAGAACATTAGTCTGCAGCAAAAATACCCTAAAAATTCTGCTTTCAGAAAAAGTGAGAATTTGTTGTTTTTCTTTGTCATATATGACAGAAAATCCCCCCAGCCGTGTTGTAAAAAAATTCACAGACTAAATGATTAATTCATAAAATAATTGGCAGATTAATCTATAATAATTATTGTCTTGGAAGAATATGTGACGTCACAATGAGATATGACACCTGTAGAATTTGCTGCTGTGATCTCACAGAAATACGTGAAATGACCACAACCTCTGAACACCGCATGACGTGGTGGTGACATGTATTGTGTTACAATTATACAGTGACGGCACGGTTGTGTTTAGGCACCAAAACTACTTGGTTAGGTTTAGAAAAAGATCATGTTTTGGTAAAAAAGTCCAGTGTGTAGGGTTTTAGGAGGATGTATAGGCAGAAATCGCATATAAGAAGTATGTTTTCCTTAGCGTATAATCACCTGAAATTAAGTATTGTCGTGTTTTCGTTACCTTAGAAAGAGTTGTTTATATCTACATAGGGAGCAGGTCCTTGCTAAAGAGATCGCCATGTTGCACCGCCATGTTTCTTCTGTAGTTCGCAGCCACTCCGCTACAACAGCGTTAGAAAAACAAAGACATTTTAAACTGCTTTATGCGGTGTGTTTACATGTGTTAATCACCTGGCGTTGCATTTTTAAAACTACGTGTAGGTTCCATAATCAAAATGTTTGTACGGACAAAAGCCAGTAATGGTGTGTGCCAAAAAATATTCGAGAATTTCTACAGTCAGGCTTCCACCTCACCATCTGTGTCGGCAATTTCCTGTCTGCAAAATGTTTGTAAGCATGGGTCAAAGTTTCTCCCATCAAGCCTCTTTCAGGCCTCGTTTTGTGCGTATGCAGTGTCTATAAATGAGACCCCAGGTACATTAGTTTTTGAGAGGAAGAGACCTCTGCGGATAATTTGGCTCCCGGTGAAAACCTCCTGAACAATGAACACTGACGGAATTCTAACCTGGAGAAATTTCAGCTAGTTGCAATCTGCAGTCCTCGCCGCTAGATGCCACTGTATCTTCCTAACTCTTACACACTGGACATTTAAGATATCTGCGTCTGTTACGTACGAGACGACTTTTAGTTCCACACAGAATGAAAACAGTGGTCTCCTGGGTGATAGTCCTACGTTTGTTGACCCATCCACCACTCTGACCTCCTCTGTATGTGCTCTTTATACAACCTATGGAGTCGTAACATGAACCAACACCCAGTGCGTGACGTCCTTGAACCAGGGAGGTCGTGTGTCCGCCATGATAAAAGATGCTAACTGACTTGCACTGATGGGAGTGATGAAGGAAGTAGTCCCCATGGAGGGTGTTTGATGGGCTACAAAACACATGACTTTCCCCAGGAGACAGCTGTTAAGACTGTGTGAAACCAAGTGAGCTTTGAGTAACTTTAAGGTACATTGTCACCATGTTTCTTTTCCTAAATCTGACCCACGTACGTAATGTCACTCAAGGGGCACTAATTAGTCAGAAATCATACAAACCATTGTAGAAGCATGCACTGAATTTCAACACAACCACCATTTATTGTAGTGTTAAGAGGTTGTCGTCATTTCCCGTATTTCTGTGGGACCAGGATGGTTTACCCCAGCAATGTTCTTCGTATTTTGAAGTTGCCCATTTCATGGTTTACAGCAACATCACAACTATCAGACGTTCTGTTTCATCAGGTCATATCCACAATCACAAAAATTCTGTTATTTTTACACAAGAAACGTTCTCTGTGTGCACAGACTTCAGATGCACACATCACGTCTTTTCGATTATATTTAGTTTTAATTTAAATTTGTGTTTGCGCCATGTTTCCCCCTTGTTGATGTTTTAGGATGACTTTTGGCTCGCCCTCCTGTTAGATTTCAGCCCGTCTTCAATGAAAACATTTCCTCAGCTTGCCCCGAATTGAAAGCACTTTACGTTTGTAGGTTTTTGTACCTCCTCCTGTATCTCCTCGTGTTAACTCCTTATTGAACGCAGACTGAAAAACCTCCCAGCTTTAGTAAGAGTCAGGGTTTAGAGTCGGTTTATTCTTAGAAAGGTATTTTTCTAGAGACCACGCCCCTCGATTTGACCTCAAATTAACCTCAAGATCCAAAATCAGCCCACTTTGAGATGCACCTTTTTCAACGAACGTTAAATTCATACACGACAGACTGACAGAAGAAATAAAAAAGATCAGCTGTTGTATTCCCCTGTATAATTCCATTTGTCCAGGTTTCCCTGTTGTCCAAAGAAAATCAAAACACACCTGCGAGAAGCTGCAATTCTCGACAGTTTGCCCTCAATCTGTGTGTGTCACAAGAGTTCTCGCCCCCTTTCATAACTTCCATCCTCGTCCATTCGCTGCATCTTATTTCACCGGGTGTCTATTTATTCCCAGGTTTCCTCTCATTGTGAGGTTTAATACGTTTTCCCGCTCCTTTTCTCTCACGCTCGCTGAAGGTGACTCGACATCTTTTTAAGAAGACATTCCTGTGACATCAATTTACAAAAAGCTGCTCACGAGTAAAGGCCAGGCTATGTCTAAAACATGTTTCCCTCTGCAGATAAATGCATAGAAAGGTTCTGACCTCAGCCTATGAAAACTCCCCCGCCCCGTCTGGCGGCTCATCGGGCCTTTTTGCACCTGTGTAGCGCCGGCTGGTAGCAGCTGATTTGTTGTTGCTGTGTTCAGGCCCCAGCAGCGCCGGGAAAACCCCTGTCATCCACTCATGGCTCTTTGCAGCGGTGTACCTGTGCTGTTGTTGAACACTGTATTATTTTCTATAAGCACCATCCATAATTCACACGCTGCGGCATCAAATATTAAGCAGAGAGATGGAGCTGAGAGGTCAGGAGGCTTGCTTCTCATGTAAGGCCGGTGTACTCTTTCACAAACCCTGCTCACACCCCCCCCCCCCCCCCCCCCCCCCCCCCCNCCCCCCCCCCCCCCCCCCCCCCCACTCACCAGAGGGTAGAAGTTGTTTTCCTGCTGTGTCGTGAGCAAAACAAAGTCTCTGTTCCCCCGTTTTTTTGCTGGAATATTTAATTTTTTGTTGCATGATTTAGAGCTAAACAAGATGTTAGATGAATGAGCTCTGAACCTGCTGAAAAACGTTCTTAATTGATCCAATTTTAAGTGACATGGAGAGGAATATGAGACCTTTAGAAAATAGATTGTTATGGTTTGGTGGTTACAAAAGAAATCTGACGCTCCACATCTTCCCTCGACATTCGGAATCAGCACTTGACTCCATATTCTGTCACTGTACGGTGGTGTTTTGTAATGTAAATCTGCAGTTACTGTATTGTACGCTTAGTCATGACGAGGCTGCTCGGGAGCAGCTACTAGGAGACGGTCAAAGAAGTGAGATGCCACTTCTCTTCAACAGATGCTTTGTAAAGCCTTGCATCAGTTTAACAAAGCCTTTTCTTTTTATTTTATTTTGTTTTTCCTCAGTTCTTCTTTAAACTTCTTTTTCAGGCAGTTTCTTCACATTCCAGCAGAGTGGACGTGTTGCTTTCGTTGTGTGCAATCTTTGACATCTTGCACTTGTTTAGGTTGCCACCATCTCATGGCTCTGAGTTTCTCTGATGGGTGAAGCCCTTTGAGATTGTGTGGAAATGTTCCTTTATTTTAAAATATGCTTGGTTTATTTTTTTTTTTTCTTTATGCACAGCCAAGGTCCTGCATAGGCCATAACTTCTTTTCTTTAAGCAGTAAAACTTAATGTCGAGCTAATGGCACCAGCTACTACTTATGATGAACAGACTCTATGTACATAGATATAAATTTATATATGAATATATATAAATGGGTCTTTGCACAAGTTATCTCCATGTCCGCTCCATGTGATTTTAACAGGAAAAACAAAAATGCGACGGAAGATTCAGAAAAAAAAAAAGACTTTATATATGCTTTACAATTCTTTGTCTCATTAACATTTTGCACTTATTTAAAGAGGCTTACTTCTGTTTCTGGGCTGATAGAGCTGTTTTCACGCTCAGCCAAGATATTGTACAATATGTATATGTATTTTTATTCATATGCATATAAATATATGTCTATGTAATTTGCCTCCTGTGTTCTGTTTTCTTCACCTGCTTCAAGGCCATGGATGGATCACTGAATGGGCCTGCCAGGCACAGGGCCAGGGGTCCAAAGTGTTCGGGCCCCTGTGTTCTTCACCTGTAAATGTCACCCAAATTAACACTTATTGACCACAAAGAGACTCAAAATGACCACAAAGCAGCTCGAAAAGACGAAAAAATAGATACAAAGAAACCTTTAAGAGACACCAAATGACAACATAGACAGACAAAACAACCAAAAAAGGCACAAATTTACCTCCAAGAGACACAGAATAACTAAAAAAGGGAACAAGGAAGACAAACAGCGACAGAAAATGGATACAAAAAGGGCAAAAAAGTGACAAAGAGATGCAAAATTATCTTAAGGAGGGACTAAATGACTGCAAAAGGAGACAAGACAACCAAAAAAGACCCCAAAATAACTAATAAAGAGGCAGGAAAACAACAAAGAAACACAAAGTGACTACAAAGACACACAAAATGACAACAAAGAGATAAAAAATAATTACCAAAAGGGGCAAGACAATAACAAAGAGACACAAAATGACTACAAAGAGACACAAATGACTACAAATACACACAAAATAACTACAAATAGACACAAAATGACCACAAAGAGACACAACATGACTGCAAAGAGACATAAAATGACTACAGAGAGACACAAAATGACCACAAAGAGACACAACATGGCTACAAATACACACAAAATGACCACAAAGAGACACAAAATGACTACAAACAGACACAACATGGCTACAAAGAGACACAGCATGGCTACAAAGAGACACAGAATGACTACAAAGAAACATAAAATGACTACAAAGAGACACAACATGACTACAAATACACACAAAATGACCACAAAGAGACACAACATGGCTACAAATACACACAAAATGACTACAAACAAACACTACATGGCTACAAAGAGACACAACATGACTACAAATACACACAAAATGACCACAAAGAGATACAACATGACTACAAAGAGACATAAAATGACCACAAAGAGACACAAAATGACCACAAAGAGACACAACATGGCTACAAAGAGACACAAAATGACTATAAAGAGACACAAAGTGACTACAAAGAGACATAACATGACTACAAAGAGACACAACATGGCTACAAAGAGACAGAGAATGACTACAAATACACACAAAGTGACTACAAAGACACACAAAATGACAACAAAGATATACAAAATAATTACCAAAAGGGGCAAGACAATGACAAGGGGACACAAAATGACCACAAAGAGGCACAAATGACTACAAATACACACAAAATAACTACAGAGACACAACATGACTACAAATACACACAAAATGACCACAAATAACCACAACATGGCTACAAAGAGACACAACATGGCTACAAATACACACAAAATGACTACAAAGAGACACAAAATGACTACAAAGAGACACAACATGGCTACAAAGAGACACAAAATGACTACAAAGAGAGATAAAATGACCACAAAGAGACACAAAATGACTACAAAGAGACACAACATGGCTACAAAGAGATACAACATGGCTACAAATACACACAAAATGACTACAAAGAGACACAGAATGACTACAAATACACACAAATGACAACAAAAACATACAAATGACTAGAGAGACACAAAACTACTACAAAGAGACAAAATTACCTCAAAGGGACACAAATAAAAAGATG